AGTCTCCTCATAGCAGACTGAACGTTTCATAAAGGATCACTAAATAAAATCTTCCTCTTTGCTTTGGCCTTGAATAAAATAATCTATTGAAGCATAAAAACGATTGTATATGGTTTACTCCCTGTCTTTATCTTGATTTGTTAAGTTCATTTGTTCCTTTTGTTATTTTGTTTTTCATCTTTTTATTTTAATCCAAATTTAGTCTGACCAGTCTTTTTGTCATTATCTTTCACGTCAACACTATCCATTTGTCTGAAATATGTTATTTATTGCTGTATTTGCAACACTAACAGCATTATTTTATACTATGCCATATGGCTGCCAGTATATAAGAGATGGACATAAGGAGATAGAATCATATTTAGAGCTCATCCCGGCCTTGGGATTGATGCCGGGTGGTCATGCATCAGTCTTGGTCTGGATTTATCGGGCCTTTATAAATTTGATCGAGGCAGTTTTAGACTTTTTCATAAAGAAAAAAAATATTATAATAGTAGCTTCTATTGATCATTAGCTACACACATCACTGCATGTGAATTTAAAAAAAATTGAGTGATCAGAGCTCTGCTGGCTCACTCTAATTTTGATTTTTTTTTTTTTTTTTGTAATAATCCTGGCATTGATATCAAAAAGTCCACATAAACGAAATTAGCTTTACACAGTTCACTGTATGATTTTGGTGAGCTATGGTCTTCCAAGTCCTGCATTGCTTGTTCCGTAGTCTTCTCCAGATGTCTGCAAAGACGTAGAACATCCTATGTGACAGAAAGAGGGGATGCATAGTTAAACTTCCGCTCATTAAATATACTTTAAGCAGTCTGAGAGTTGGGTTCCCACCACTTTGTAGCCTATAGAGTTTTGAAACTGGGTTGACTTTCAGCGTACTTTCTTCTGACATGAGTGCTCTGCAATGTAACGCACCACTGATGCTTTTGTAGTGAGTGGAGTACTTGCTGCTGTATAATTGAGATGGAAAAAGGAAATGGAGCTATACATTGTTTTCGAAACAAAGAGTCTCTCTTTTATTGTTTAGATAGTGAATTAAGAAACTTTGGTAAAGTAAGAAAGATATTCACAGATTCGGCTTCTCTGGACCAATGACTCGTCGGCCGATCATTTCTCCTACAAAACCGACATCTCTCCGTAAACAAGGCAAAGCAGAAAGTGAGCTACAACCGTAGTTTCCTGAAAGCAAGTTTCCCCCAGTGCTGGGAGAATTACATTGGAGTATATGCAGAATTTGCTGGTTTGCAAATGCTTAGTGACCGTCTGCAAGGTGCAATACCAGGAAAATATTAATAAAGAAATATTCAACAGCGTCACCAAGGATTATTGACAGTTATTGGATTGGAAAATATTGCATTAGATTTTTTTGTTAGGACTTCCCCAAAGCTTAAATGAAAAAAACACTCAATAAAGTCCCTTTTGCTAGGTGTAGGATAGAAAACAAAACCTTTGAAAATAACTGTTTGCTCCAATTTAGATTAGTAATACCCCCACTTTTACGTTTTGTATTATCAGAATAAGTATAAAATGAGCAATAACTATATTATAGATCATTGAAGTGCCACCAAACGTGTAGCACACATAGATAATCTCATCTGGATCATACTACAACTCTTACTTAGGGAAAATGTGCATAACTCAATTATTTAAGATATTCTCTTTGTTATTATAAGCATATAATTGCCAATAACTACACTGTAGATCATTGTAGTTCCACCACACATGCAGCACACATAGATAACCTGATCTGGATATCTGCTGGGTATTATACCTGCTGAGACAGAGCTGACTCATTCATAGAGGCTAAAGATAAAAACTTCTTTCCATCCAGTATCCTGTTAGGATTACTCTTCCTTCCGACGCCAGCGAGTAGCAGGCAGCCCGTTTCAGCAGCTCCCTTTATTTTATTAGAACAATTTGACACAGGTTTTGAGTTACTGAGTCACGTGACCTGGAAGTTATTGAAGAAAAATCCTAATTTTTTACTTTAAAATATCTTTAAAATGTTAGAATAGCTTAAAATGGAATTAAAACAAATAAGCCCTACAGATGTTATCTATTAGCATGTTTTTATATCTGCTTCATCTTAGCTGATCACAAGATAAGGAATTTATAGATTTTGTTTCTCAAGACTACTTGGTACTAAAAAGTCCCTACACCACAGCATGTGGGAGGAGGGAGCATTTGAGAGACGCTGGCTGAAATCGGAGCCCCTCAATTGCATCAACCGTCAGCTAGATCCCGCAGACAACAATCTTCACCATGGTAGTGAACCTGCAGGAATCCGATCCTATGAGCCAGGCTTATGGGACTAAAACTGAACCCCCCGCGTTCCGAGCCAAAACCTTGAGGGTTCCGTGGAAAAACCTGGCTGACAGATTTTAAACTGAAGATGCTGATCTCGTATTGAATGGCTTTCACCAGTTTATCCATAGATTATCCTTAGATGGCAGTGACTCACTTAAGCTGCGTATTGATTATTTCAGACAGTTTTTTGACACTGAACTTTTGGCTCTTATTGTCAATCAGAGCAATCTGTAATGCACACAAGAAAGTTCAAACCATGCCCAAGGCTAATGGTACATAAAGGTGCTCAGTGCACAGAAATATCTTTACACTGCACTGTAATGATACTGTGTCAGCTGTGAACATGAACCTATACACAATGTGAACTGATGTCTCTAAAAACCAATTTTCCAGACAGGTTCGATGAACTTGATTGAAGTCCAAGGTCACTGCACCAAAGTGACAGCTTCCCATACTATCCCGTCATGCACACGCAGAGGCCAGTTGGTTGGTTTTTATGTAATTTACTAAAAGGGGTAGGCAACAACACACCAATAGCTCAGTGAGCTTCCCTACTGGTCCACTAGTCACTCTGTGTACACAGCAGAGCGCTGAAGAGATTGTGTCATTTACAAATTCATTTTACTGTGAGTTCTGACAACATTTTTTCTTTTTCTTACTTGTGATCATATATTACTTGTGATAATATATCTTTAAAATGAATTTTATACAATTTGGTCTTTGTTTTACAAATGAAATAAATTTGAAAAAAATAAATACAGAGAGCGGTCAAAATAAATTTTTGATTATTTAATTATAAGTTACTTAACAGCACCTTCGGGGGGGTTTACAGAAAATAATGAGCATGAGAGCCACTGTCCAGGATGAGACATCCAAGATCCATAAGAACATTGAAGACAAGGTTCCAACAGACGTTCTCAGCAAATGTCTCAGACAACTGGAAGATGAGGTGCCAGAGGTTCTGTCATCGGAGAATTACCCCCTATGGGACTTACCACCAAAGAAATAACCGAAGTGGTGGATATCAGGAAATCCTACCAAGAGCTAAACAAAGCTAGACTGAAGGACAACACAGAGGCACTCATCATGGCTGCACAGGAACAGGCCCGGATTAGGGCACCAGATAGAGGAAAAAGGTAAGATACCAGATTTTCTCATATTTTAGAAAGAGAAATTTAAAATGATCTCTTCTCAGTTCAGAACATTGACCTGGATAAAGCACACTATGGGGCATCATCTTTCTGCAGATCCATTCTGTCATTCCGTATGTAAATGGTGGGGGCTAGTTTCTTAAGATGCTCCTAGAGTTGGGAGCGAAAACAGAAGAAGTCTGAAACTGTTATGTAGGAGTTAAATGTGGTCTGTTTCATTAAAATCTCCAGACAATGAATTGAGCTTGGTGGTTTTATTGGAGGTGTGGGCAGTTAGATCTTCAGGGCCGATATCCAGCAACTTTTAGATGCTTCCTTGGTCCAAAACACCTGAATCAAGTAATATATGATGAAGAGGGTTTTGGAGAATTGACTGCAAACTATCAGCTACAGTAGTAGCCATTCAAAATGTCCCCACTTTCCTTTAAGGGCCCTTGCCTGGTCCCCAACTATTCCTTTTGAAACATTAAAATTTGTACTAAAATATTATTTCTCTCATGATTTGTGTACATTGATATCCAAAGTGAAATGTTATCTCCTAGTCAGACTCTGTAATACAGTGAAAGGGTGGATTCAGTAAAAAAAAAAAAATGCACGTCCAGGAGAAGGGGGTCACTCCAGTGGCTGGAAGTTGGAGGGATTTCTGCTGAGAGTTTCAGGGAAGTTGGGTGCCATTCGGCTGGTGCGGGAAGGGCAGTTTTGAATGGATGCCACTGTATTCAGTTTAGGTGTGTTGGATTTTAAAGTTGCAGGATACCAAGATTGGAGTTACGGAAAAATGTTGAATAAGGTTGAATACTTATGAATGACTACATAAGGGTTCCTAAACATTGAGATCTGACCTATATTCTGTTTATGTATTAATGAAAGAAAATAAACTTCAGGAATGAAGGTTACATTTAAAATGTATTTATTAGGATTTACTCAGACAAACTGAAGCATTAATGAAAGACTCGTTGATGACCTATTCTTAGTTTTCATTTGAAGTACCGGTATATTGTTTTTTGTCATTTATTGCATAATTTCATGCTTAGTCATTGTTTGCTCATTTTATGAAAACAAGAACAGTTGTAGGAAAGGATTTTATAACCGCAATACTCATTAATTCAAAGCAAACCTACAGAATATATTTGATTTTTCACAAATGATTCAGGTTTTCAGTAAAATAAATCGTGATTCAGCTTTTGAAAAAGAGAAGCATCACTTCTTCTTTTAGATTTCTCCTTGAATTCATAGAAAGATGTTTGTAAAATGTACAATTAAATCCCAGTTCCTCTAAGAAACTGCTCAGTTAGGACACAGTTCTGCATGCGTCATACCTCTTTGAAGCTGCAAGTAAAACGAGCTGGAATTCCCCACGTGCCCAAGAAAATTGTTTGCTTAAAAGAATGTTGTTCAGTGGGAAGTGGGAAGAGCTAAGCCAAAGAAAGCAGATGTGACTGGCCAGACAATCCTATGTAGAAACCACACCACATCCTGTATAAAGGAAGATAGAGGAAGTGAGCTCACAGTTAAAGCAGCTCTTCTGAGGGCTGCGTATGAATGCGATTTTCTTTTCATTAAACAACTTTAGATTTTGTGATAAGAGGAATTTAAGGTCAGACCACCCGGTGATGTATTTGTTTCGTTGCTTTGTGGTTGGATCGCTCTACTCAAGTGGTATGTATAAAAAAATCATGAAAGCTTCTTATTTCATTTGCTAAAAAGATTTTCTCTGTATTAAAGTGAGTATGTTATAAATTAGTGAACAGATGTAGTTGGTGCAGTCTAAGTAGGTTGTTAGGCTGGATATAATATGCATTAAACATTTCCTTTAAATTAAAACCTCAGCTTTAATCCCATTATGATCTATGAGAACAAAGAAAAACTCAAACCAAGCTTTTTGAAATGGAAAAGATTTACTATTACCTACGTGTTTTGTAGTATGAAGATATATCCCCTACAAATGCTGCAGTGTAAACAGTTGAAGTCAGGACATTGCTGCTGAATGTAATCTTTAAACAGAAAGAATAGCTCTGCTCATACATTTAACCGTAATATGAGAACCTAATGTTTACATTAGGTTCATATTACAGCTGATAAGGAAGTAAAATTTGTTCCTTCCTAGAAGTAGAGCAGATCTGAAAATGGGAAACGCTTTCAAATGTGAGATTAAAATTATCACTCTAAAACTGAAGCATTATTTTTTTATAACTTTTCAGTTGCTCCATCTTTCAAAGCTTATTTGGCTGCTTGTATCTGTAGTAATTTGTCATGAACCGGGGATAGATGGACCCAGTATTCAAGGAGAGACAGTCAGTAGGAAAGTTCCAAAAGGTTTATTAAATTAACAAAAACTAAAGTGGAGCTGTGGCTCGGACACTGCAGGCGGGGGGGCGGGGCATCGCCCAATCTCAGACAGGCTGTAGTGGGAGAAACACAGGTAAGTGACCACGATCATCGGAGAGAACATGATTATCTGAATTGGTCACTTACCTGGTTTAACAGTCCAGACCAAGAATGTCCCCAAGTGCTGCAGTCCCTGAGGTCATCCTGGAAGCCGATCCTGGTCAGGGATTCAGGACATACAGAACAGACAGGATCCAGATCAGGCAGGAACAGAAACAGGTGGCAGGATCCAGACTTCTAGGCATCCACAGGCTCCCAGGAGGGAGCAGAGTCTGACTGGGACCAGAAGCATGACCAGGTGGTCACGCACAGGAGCAGACAGGATCAGGTGCAGACAGGCAGGCTCAGTGGAAGAAGGTAGCCGAGACAGGACGTAGAACCGGAACTTGAAGCAGGACTTTAAACCGGTCTCCTCCCTGGAGCCAGGCTTACTTTGATAAAAACTGAACCTCCCTCCATAATGAGCCAAAAACCCAGAGGACTCCGCGGGGGAGGAACAGTGGACGATCAGGAGACGAGACAAACACTAAAACCCTCTTTCCACTGGCAGCTAGGATCCAGGACACGAACCATGAAATAAAACTGAAACAGACTGACAGAAAGACAAGAAATGATCTGACACTGAATGTTCAGGCTGAACTGGATATAAACCAGAGGAAACAGGTGAGAGGAATAAATTATAATTGAGGTAGGGAAGGAAAACGACAGGTGAAAGGAATGACTAATTAAGCAGGAGCATACAGGCCAGATCATGACAGTAATTTCTTTAAAACAATAGGTTCTTTTATTACAGAATTCAGGACATAATGCACAGATAGAAAAAACATTACCCTGTCTCAATAGATAATTATAGAATATTAATAGAACAGAATGTTATTATGCCAAGAGGCACAGCAACAATATGGGTGCACCGCAGAAATTAAAACAGTCTTAAAAAAGGCCAAAAACATACATTTTACACAAATAACATTTTAGTTAATAAGTGTAGAAATTGAAGTGATGAGAAATTGTTAAAAGAAATGCAGAGAGGTAGACTGCATGTTGTTTGTGTGTTTGTGAGTTATAGTAGTTCTACTCCCCCGATGAAAGAAGCTGTTAATCAGTGTGGTGCTGTTTGCGTCACTGACCTTAAGTGACTCCCAAAGGGCAGCAGTTCATGCTCACAAATATTTGGCTGAGTTTTGTTTCGTCATTTAAATACATTTCAATAGTTTTATGGGTTCATTTTCTACTGACAACTTTTATACACATTTATCATAACTACCGGTAGCAGGATTTAAAGGATTTGATTTGTTTAACTTGAACACATAAGTGTGAAAAGAAATATTTTCCTCTTCCTGACCACCAAGATTTTTATCTTTAGCTTTGCCTGCATATTACAGTAAAAACTGCTTACTAATAACATCACAACTCGATTTTTTCCATGTTTGCATTCCAGAGGTCTGACTGTTTGAGCTAATCTCTCTATTGGAGATGGTTCTGACATGCAAAACCTGTCGGGCTAACACTTTCTGCTCAGGTGAAGATAGACAATAAGAAAATGAATGCTAATATTTCTACAATTGTTTTGAGAGGTACTTTAAGTTTGGTCATAATGTTTTCAACACAGCTAATCTGATGGCATTTTGTTTACTGGATGGAATGTTTAAGGTTATATTGACTATATTATACCAAGTATCCATTTTGCACAACTCATACAAAACATCTCCTATCTCGTACTTTAATCTGAACACTATACAAAAGAATATAGGAATAACATTTTTTTGAAGGTATTACTTATTTTATTATTAAAAGGAACCCAACTGTAAAACTTCAGGCACCTGAAATCAACTCTCAGGCAAAAACATCTTCTGCCACATGATTGGAGCCAAATGTCAATGGCGCTTCCTCTATGATTTAAAGAACATTGTACATTTCTGCAAAAAGAAGGAATTTGTTATAAATCAGGGGAAAGTTGTTAGAGTGCACTGGAAGACTTTACATGAAATATGATTACAGTTAAAAAAGGAGAATGTGATGTCTAATTTTCCAAAGTCTGGTTTGTTTTTTATTTTTGACCTGAAAAAAAAATCTTAAAGGACTCGTGCTTTATTTATATTAAATATGAAGGTACTGTAACGTGTGTCAGATTTGACTATTACTTTAAGTACGAACGGTTAGAATAAAGAATAAATTCTCTAAAGTGTCTTTAGCTTCTCCCATTAGCAGCTAACCTTAGTTAACATTACTAGCACAAAAGTCTCTTTATCATTTATTGTGATTTTTGTAAATAGTCTGTACTTATATAGGGCTTTTTCAAGTCAGGAAACCATGACCAGAGTGCTTTACACTACATTCAGTCAAACATTAATATTGGCAAGCTACATTGTAGCCACAGCTGCCCTGACAGAAGCGAGGCTGCCGTACACTGGCACCACCAGGCCCTCTGACCACCAGAGGTAAACAACACCACTAAAAGCCAGAGACGGGACTAATACCAACAACCCTCCGATAGCAGGGAAAAGTCCTGCACCTGATGACACTGTCGCCCCTTTTCCTGGACTCACACCACCTCATAATTACAGCCATGTAATACATAGAAAACAATTTTAAAATAATTGGACACATCATAACCTGATATTTTCATGTGTTTTTTTCTCATTAAGGTGTTTTTTCTATATATGCTCCACCTGAGAAGGTCGAAGCCTTTGCTGGAGGACATGCCATCCTGCCCTGCAGTTTGAAAATCTCTAGGATTGGCCCTGCTTCTACGGTAGAGTGGTCCAAAGTAAGCCTTAAGTCTAAAATCGTGTTCTTGTATCGCGATGGCTGCGAGACCTTTGGGATGAAGGATGTGGATTTTGAGTTCAGGACGAGCCTCTTCATGAGAGAAATGAAAAATGGGAATGTCTCACTGAGGATCTCCAACTTAAAACTTTCTGATGCAGGGATCTACAACTGTTCCTTTTTCGAAAGAAATAAACTTAAAGAGACTGCAAACGTCGAGCTGCTTGTTGGTATGTAGCTTTTACTTTGTTTAAATTAATGGTCAGAATCAGGCAAAAATTAAATGCTAAATACTTGTAATTCCACTTCTTTTTGAGATATTATTTGAGGCCATTTAATGACTATTTAAACATGTTGTTTCAGTAAGAAGGTCTTTTACATTGTTGGTCTAAGAGGACATAATGTTTTAAACAGGAAACACTCACTGACAGAACAATGGCAGTTGGGTGGAAAGCAGACGCTAAGGGAGTCAGAAATCTTGGCAATAAAATCTTTTTTCTCTCTTAGGTATCTAAAAAAAACTTGGCATGTCACACAGATTTCAACACAGACTTCTTTGTGTGCTTAAGGCTAACATGCACACACACAATTAAAGTAGCCAGGGCCAAAACACACTCACACGCATTCACACCATGTTACTATATATACAAATACAACTGAGATGGGTTGTATTTATACAACCCTACTCTGTATTGTGAATTGTGGACAGCAGTGGAATTCAACTTGACAATAAATTATTTTTCTTTTCCCCCGTCCGGTGGACAAATGAAGATAATCGCTATCAGTGTCTTGATTTTTGTCCTTAAAGAGAACCTACCATTTGAACTACCATACACTCTGTCATGTTTATCCTATATATCCCCTCTTCTCTTGATCAAGTAATTGATGTCTGGTTGTTACATATTTCGCTGTTACAAGCGTTGACAGTTCCAGAACATTTTCAAACAAAAAGGCCAAAAAGGGGCCAATTTTCTCTGAAGGGTGGCCCCTGAGACTCTGGTCTCTTTCAGATGGATCATTGAACCTGTGGTCTTTACCTAAAAATCCCTTTAGTTTCAGTCAAACATATTTATGACTAGCATGTTAAACTAGGCCAAATTATATTGCCACGTATAGGAATTGAAGGATTTTCATCTTGCTGGTACTATGACATATGTAGGTTTATTGGTCAAGAGGAGTCTATGACCTTAACTTGACTTGTCCTGTTTTGGCTACAAAAACAGGGGACTTTAAAGTGGTCATAAGATATAACAAATTATCATATTTAACAACCTTTTTATTGATTTTTTTTTGTGCAGCTGCAGTGTCTGAGCCAAAGCTTGAAGTGGTTTTTATAGAGAATGAGAGAGTAACCATCACATGTCAAGCTAGCTGCTGGCTGTCAGCGCCAAAGATCAGCATCCTGGACGATGAGGGAAATGACATCATCACTGATGAGGAGCCAAACCAAGAGCAAAATGTGAGAGGATGTTACGCCAAGCAAACATTCCCCATGCAGGATTCTGCAAAAAGGTAACAACTTTAGTTTATTTAGGATGTTTATATACAAATAACATAATATTAGAGAACAAATATATCTCTTAATACGTTGTCATTTAACTCAACCAATTTTCAATACTATTTAAAATTGCTGGACAGGACAGGGGAAAAGACAAATGTATAGGCTACTAATGATACAACTATGTATATGTCACCTTCAAAGGTATAACTCTGCCACCAACCGATTACTAAGACAGCAGATAAAATTTATTAGAAGGGCACAGTGGTCCAATCCTCTGTCTTCATTTGCTTCACTGTAATACCAACTTTTTGACCATTTTAGATTTTATTTGCTTCAACTGTTCCATTTCTTTTCCTAGAACTAGCAATATGTTAAATTAATCAAACATCAAAGCATTGAACTACCCCTCTGTGTTTAAAAAATCCATTATTCATAAATAACTAGTTTTAGCATAATAACTTAAACAGATTCAACTAGAAATCATCAGGTTTCCTTCAGAGTCAACTGTC